TCTCGTATTCCGGCGCCAGTTTTGCGCACATCTTCACTTCTCCCGCGTCCAAGTTTGATACATCGCCACTTAGATACTTCTTGAGATTGACAATCCAACGCTCTTCATCTTGAGCTTGGACAATTCGTTGAATCCTAGTCCTCTGTTCGATCTCCTCCTGTATCACTTCAGGTTCATGACGTATCCTTCCGGCTGATCTCGTGATCGCAGTTATCCGAGCCAGCTGACCATCTTGCTTGGGCTTCAACAATTCATCGAGACGGTTCAGAGTCATCAGATCTTGCCGATCTTCTTCAGATACAACGGTTCTTCCCTTTTCATTCTGCAATGCTGTGCTGGCTAGTCGATCTGTGCTATGGTTCCACTCTCGCTACATAGGCAGAAACTCGTGACTAGGCCAAGATCGCAATTTCTCTAACGCTTTATGTTTCAAGAGTTGCAGGCCCGGGGCTTTGCAGTCGATCTCACTGCGCATCTGGCGGATCAACAAATTAGAGTCCCCACAAAAGATTATTCTTCCCCTGTCCAGATCGGCCAGTAAATCGAAGCATAATAGCAAGCCATGATACTCAGCTTCATTCACGGTGAGGTCGAGAGCGTATCTGGATTCTGTCGCCACGATCGTCTACTCGGGTAACCTCCATATCACAGCACTGTACGACCCTCCTTTCTTTTTTATCCTCGCCGATCCATCGAAACTGGCCACCAGCAACTCCTCATCTGCTTCCACCGTTGGAGGAGGCGTCGATATTTTGAGTCGGCAGTCCTTTCGGGGGAAATCGCAATCATCATCTCTTCCACCTCTTCTCTCGGGGATGATACTTGCTGCTAGCATGCCCAAAATCTCTTCTTCTCCTTTTTTCGCACCTCTTCACCTCTATAGTCCAGTTCGACAGCAAAGCAGCCCACCGTCCTAATCTCCCGTTGAGCCCTCGAGATTGCATCAACCACGCTAACGTAGAATGTCGGGTCAGCACAGTGATCTCCCCGCGAGGCAAGCGTAGTATGGCATACATCCAAAACACGAAGTAACGCCAGCACTTCCTTTTCCACCATTCCGTAGTTAAGCTCATTGGGCTTTAGAGTGCGGCTAGTAAACGTCACCGGATGGTACACGCCGCCGTACTCCTGTATCAGGGCCGCTGAGACAGTCTACTTGCTAGCGTAGACCACGATCACGGGAGGGCGATCTGGGTCGAAATGTTTGAGCATGGGAGCTGTAGCTATCTTAGCCTTTAGCATAGTGAAAGCAACCATGGCTTCTGTCCATCGACCCTCGTTCGACCATTCGTCTCCTGCTGCGAGCTGAGATCGGCCGATCTCGAAGAAATCCAATTCTCTTAACTCATACAACACCGCGGCGTACACCGCGAAGTCCTGAATGAAACGGCGGTAGTAGTTCAAGCTCCCGAGAAAAGATTGCATAGCTCGCAGCGTGCTAGGGAACGGGATGTTAACCAACGACTCCAAGTTCTTGGGCTGAGCCTCCAGACCATCCATCGACACTCGATGTCCCAAATAATCGACCTTGCGGCACCCCCAAAAGCTCTTCGTGAGACTGATAGACAGATTCCACTTATCACAAGCCTCCAGCAACCGTTCTACTTTTGTGTACAAAGATTCCCATGACGTGGCTGGTATGAGAATATCGTCAATGTAAGATCGGCGTCCCAGTATAGAGGGTCGTCGATCTGTCTCAGGTTCTCCATCTTTGAACACGTCGATCGGGCCATCAGAGGCTGATCTCTGGCCGATCTTGAGATATCCATACAACGCATTGTCAACCAGACGTTGGTAGATCTGGGGCGCGTTCTTAAGCCCAAAAGGCATTCGTAGCCACTCGAACAAGCCAAACGGCGTGACAAACGCTGAGATCAGTTTTGCTCGTTCAGTCATTTCGACGACCCAGAATCCACTTGCCATGTCTAGCGAACAGTACCATAGAGCTTTATCCAAATCTTTCAGCAGATCGCTGATCAACGGCATGGGATAAACCATCAGGCGCGTCAGCTGGTTCACTCTTCGATAATCAATTCAAAGGCGAATATCCACTCCGTTCTTCTTGATGATCACCACTATCGGAGACGCCCAAGGTGACGTGGATGGCTGAACGATCTTGGCTGCTAACAGTCCTTTGATGAGATCTGACAGCTTCTCCCGACATTTGGGTGCGACCGGACGGACTCTTTGCGCAATTGGTGCGGCTCCACCGACATCGATATCACAAATCACTCGTCGTGCCGCTGGTGGTAGAGCATTGCCCTTCCCCATAAAAAGGTGACGGCTCTTCCAAATCAGCGATCTGAGTCTTTGTGGATCTGAGGTGAGAGGAACGTCCGGATCGCCGATCTGAATGTCGTTAATTGTCACTTCTTCCGTAGCAGTGAACATCTCTGGTAACACCGACAGGTGTTGCTCGATGTCTTCGGCAAACAAATCTCCACTCTCGTGATAGTAGACTGGTGCTTCTGCGGAGTCAGCTTCGTCGATCTTAGACGGCTTGTCCTCTTCAGATCTTTGCGTCGCCTCGGACCGATCCAGTCCTGCTCTGTTGTCTGCAAGATTGACGTTCAATGAAGACAGTCTGTTGTCCTGTTCTTCTCGTTCGGTCCCGTGATCTCTTCTCATAGCGATCTCGGTTTCGATCTCACGATCGTTATCCTTCGACGATAGATTTGTCTCATCGAGTGGATTCGATCCAACTCCGTTGACCGTTCATTCCCTTGCAACCACAGTATCTGCATTTTGCAAGTCGTCTTCGCCAGCTTGCTGCTTTACCATGGAGATCGCTGGAGGTATGTCCTTTAGCGCATCAGACGGACGCTTCATGTTGCATTTGGGAGTGGCGTACGTAGGCCAATCTACCAATGGTCCGATCTGCTCATTTGGGAGTTCATTCACTCGATCCGTCGTAGCCTCATACGTCAGAGTTTGCCACTACTTGTACTTCCCCGATCCGACCTTCACAAAACCTTGAGTTCATGGTACCATATCGCCTTCGGTCCACAAGCCTAATATCGTGTGGGTGGGCAGTATGATCTCACGGTCGCCAATGTTGGTCATCTGCAGGTATTTCGTCTTACCCAACCCCGAGATCACAGAGGGGACCCAATCTGGCCCTCTAGTGACCCACAACTTCATCTTAGCCTCTCCGATCCCGATCTTCACTTCTCTTGACTCTCCGACTGGGATAAACACATGTTGGTCTTACGCCGTTACATGTTGTATCTTCGATCCGTACGCGGGGCGACGTCCTGCGAGATGGATACGGATTTCTTCTGGTTGACATAGCGCGCCATCAGCTAGATCGAGCCGCACTCCGGCAGGCACCATAAAGTCCATGCCCAGAATTGCTTCTTGCCCTGCCAGATCGCCTACCCATACATTGAAATAGTATACCAGCGATCCCGCGAGGGTTACTTTGATCTTGGTACGTCCTATCGTCATGTACGGGGTTTCTCCGATCCCGATACATTCTTGTCGTTGACTTTCGTCAATATTGCAACCGACCTTACGAGCAAAGGTGGTGTCAATGATCGACACTTCAGCACCAGAATCAAATAGCAGAGTGGCCTTTTCGTTGTTGATCTTGCCAACAGCTTTCGCCTGTTTGAACCACTTCCCGGGCGAGTAATGTTTCCAGTATCCGCGAGAATCACCGTAAGCGAGCTCGATCTCCATAGTTGGTTCAGATCGCGAGTACTCACCGATCCTCTTCAGATGGGACACGGAAACGACACGTTTTGACTTCGAACGAGATAAATTTGTATCCATCTCTGTATCCTGCTTACTCTTGCTATCTGTATTCTTTTTTTCCACGTATGCAATGATGCAGAGCCCAGAACGCTCGGCTCGTACCAGATTCAAACCTGGCGAGCGTCCTAGTTTAACATCTTCTCTGCCTTCTCTGGCAGTGTCCCCGCATGCTTGGTTGGGACGTACCATTGGCGGATCATGTTATAGAACTCCTCCATAGGACACTTCCCCGGGTCATGCATCTCACCGCAGGCGCGACTCACGAAAAACCCATTGTCAGAGGGGTATCCTTTACGACCACATTTCTGGCAAGTGAGCCGCTCCCAACAACCGAGATCTCCATGCTTGGTCGATCCGCAATGAGCACACGGCTTCGATGGTATATTGCGATCTTGATAATCTTGACGAGTGTTCGGGTCGGCCGATCTCGCTTTTGCTGCAACGTCATTGGGGGACGAACACCGATCCGTAGTAGCAGCCACATGGATCGATCTCAATCGATCTTCCAAATACGATCCGCAGGTGTCCGAACCTGACTCGCTGCTGACGTCCTCGGTACGGACCATCCTCACCGCTTGTGCAGGCTTAGAAAATGCTGGACCCGGAGTTCCCTTCTGCCTGAACTTGGACGATCCCATCATCACTTTCCCTTGACGCGATCTCCCTTGTTGATATCCATGCAGTGTCTTTTGCATGGCATCCGCGTCTCCTACATTCAGCAATAGCAATTGATTGGACAGATCGGGGTCGTCCAAGGTGTCAATGAAATGGTTGACATGTTCCTTGCGCGCAGCTGGCAATCCAGTCATCACCGGTATCTTCGCCTGCGTTCCCATCACATTAAGCCGATACAGGTACTGCAAAGGATCTTCCTCCGATCGTTTCTTTGCATGGTAATATTGTCGGCTTGTGGACATCCCGTGTCCCGCATATTCCACAAGAAAACTGTTCATCAATTCTTTCCAATTGAGTCTCGTCGATCTACTCAGCTGTCGGTACCAGTAGCGGGCTGGGCCCACCATGAGATCACCGAAGACCAGACATCTCTCTTCGTCCGGTGCTTGGTCTCGGATAAACGCTGACTTCAGTTTGCCGATCCAGGTTCGTGCTTTGTCTTCTTCCCGATCCTTCCCTGAGAATTCTTTCAGCTCATAAATCGCTGAGATTCTGATCCTCTGCGTGATGCTTTCCCCTCCGGTAGTCGCACCGTTCGCGGCTACGTGAGGGCGCCGTGGTTCGGACATTCATAAATCATCCGGGTCGTATTCCGCCCCATGATGGATCTGTTGGTAAGTGTCCGACTCCACCGATTCCATCTCCACATCCGGCATGTCATGGCTTTCGTGTGAGGGTTGGAGAAAAGTACGGCGATCTGGGTGGCGGTTTGGCTGTCGATTCATTCGCTGAGCTGTACGTTGATCCGCCTCGTACTCCTTCATGGCTGAATTGAAGTACCGACTTAGATCGCCCTCTTCCTGATCATCCAGCCCAGTACGGGTACCGGCCGATCTCCGTGGCATGTCGCTCCTGGCTTGTCCTTTAAAGGCGTCGGTATTGGCTTGGCCGATCTTGTCCTTTAAAAACGTACCACCCGATGGTCCCAGAGACATCCGACAAATGCTGATGGATCCATCTGACTCGCTCTCGGAGTCGTCCGAGGCGTAGCGGGGCGATCCCGCGGGGTGTTTCCGGAGCGAGCCCGAGGGTGTCCCGATCTTGTCTTCAGGAGTATTCGCTTTGCTCACCAGCACTATCATGATCTCCACAAACTCATTCGCCGCGTTCTTCAACCGTTCCAAGCTGCAACTCAGCAGTTCATCTCCATCAAAGGCGTTAGGGCAGACACCCATGTCGTCCAACATCTGCAAAATCAAATTGATCTCGTCGACTCTGTTGGTCCCAGGAGGTGGGACCGATATCGGCTTATCCAGAGGACCATCAACTTGGGCCTTAATATCTTGAACACTGGGTCCGTCTTGAGCAGCGTCTTCAAATGGCCATAATAGTAATGCCATTTTGCACGCTCCCGCGCTTCACCCGTCGTCTCCTTCTCCCTGGACGCGATCTTCATTGGGTTATATTCCGTCTTCGGTATCGCGATCTTATCCGGTGTTTCATCGTATTCCTCTTTGACTCCGATCTTCGGTTGCGCGGTTCGGCCGATCTGGCGATCTTTGACGTCTGATCCCATCGATCTCGTCGTGGATCGTTCCGATGTGGTCGATCTCGCGATTGTGCTCCTCGGCTTGAGGTCGGGCGACCTATCGACTAAGGCATAGGGTTTGGCTTTCGCCGATTTGGTTTTCATCATTGAATTTTCATCCAGCAGATCGCTCTGGAAAGAGCGATCTGCGGTGGCCCCCGAAAGGACCCTAGGAGGGGGTTGAGGTTTATCTTCCAGATCGATCTCTCGATCTTCCTCTTTCATTTTCATTTCATCAGAGCCCCTCCCAAAACTCTGATGATCTGAGGATCTTGTGCTTCTGCGTGTCTGCGTCGATCCCTCTGTCGCTGACACTTCAATCCCAGGTTCTTGCTTCATCTTGACATCTTCGCCAGTGGACTCACGGTGAAATCCAGAGGCCTCAGAAGATCCGGGCACGCGCACCATAGTGGTGAAGTCGATCTCACAAAATTACTTTAGTGAGTGTCGAGCTTCCACTTGCCCAGACTTGCCGACTCACGGAGGGGGTACTCCGATCCGTGCCTTGTTGTATGACCTTGTGCTCACCTTGTGTACCCGTCGGTTGGGCTGGCTTGAGCTCTTCGTAACGGCCTTGGAGGATGTCGATCTCGCTGAGAGGTTGGGTTGAGAGTTCGCTTCCGGTGCGGAAATCATCACACCACGAACAGGGGTTCTGCGATCTTGATCTCGAGTCGCGGCGATCTCTAGTTAAAGATGTCGCGATCTCGATCGTGAATCGCACCGATCTCGATTTGTATTCGGGATCGGGGTGTTTGCTGTGCGGAAATCTTCACTCAGCACATAGTAGTCTTGCGTCGATCTTGCCTTGGGATCAGTCCGATCTGGTCTTGGGATCGTCCGATCTTGCTGGAAGTGCGCAATTTGGGCAGACCGGTCCTTGGTTTCTCCAAAATGAAACACGCCAATCTGTCGAGTGGATCGCTTCGATCTTGCTCGGTCTTGTCTTGAACGTCTTGTCCAGATCTTCTGACCACTTGAGCCGTCTCGCGATCTTGTGTCCGAAATCCTTTTCCTTTGTTGCTGCTACCCTAGCAGTTGAGTTGAGAGTGAGTACTTGATCGATCCGGGCCAAACTTCCCGCGGTCGCTCTTCCCGATCTTGGCCAACAATCCAAGATCGGTCTTCTGTGTCCTTGTAACACGCGTGCATTGACCCGCCGGGGAAGCCAAATCACTCTTGCCCGGAGAAGAGGGGAGGAGAACGTGCGTCGTGAGCAGAAGAAGTAGAGTTCAAGTCTGTTTATTAACCAACCAAATTACTAGCCAACCTATCTTTAAGCCTATTCCCAAATATAGATCACTCTCCAAGTCGATATCACCTTTAAGCTTGACCGCCCCCTTGAACACGTGTCGAAGTTTCATGACCTACACTCCAAAGATAGCGCCAATATCCCCAATATCGTACCTAAACGCCAAAAGAGGACCAAATCCCAAATGTGGTACCAAATACCCATTTTTGGTACCAGAGAGCCCAAAATAGTGCCCAAATGCTGAATGCGTCAAAATCCACTTTGCGACGTCAATTTGACCGGCTTCCACTGGCTCTTTCGATCTGAATTTTTGAGACATCACTCATGGACCTTCACCAAGCATGTTTGTCATGATCCAAAAGTCTCATCAACGATATATCCATAATCAGTGGGGAACATGACCGATCTGATGCCCAATTCGAGATCGTTGAGGATCGACACAGTACAATCCGGCCATACGTGTTCTTCCGTTCATTGTGTGTACTCCGATGCCTTTCTCAAAATGATTCTGCTTCAACATCCACATCCTTGCCTTTGATCAGCCTTCAGAGTGGTCGCTCGGTTCAATCCAGTCCCTCATCCCAGATCGCACCGTGGAAATCACCCTGTAGTAAAGTCACTACTCAAATGATGGGACGTGGATCGGTGTCCACCCAGTTAGGACGTCACCCACTGGCGGAAAAGGTACGCCTGGGACCAGGCGATGCGATGTGATTTGAGACGGGGCGTTGAAAGGGGTGATTTCCACGGTGCGATCTGGGATGAGGGACTGGATTGAACCGAGCGACCACTCTGAAGGCTGATCAAAGGCAAGGATGTGGATGTTGAAGCAGAATCATTTTGAGAAAGGCATCGGAGTACACACAATGAACGGAAGAACACGTATGGCCGGATTGTACTGTGTCGATCCTCAACGATCTCGAATTGGGCATCAGATCGGTCATGTTCCCCACTGATTATGGATATATCGTTGATGAGACTTTTGGATCATGACAAACATGCTTGTTGAAGGTCCATGAGTGATGTCTCAAAAATTCAGATCGAAAGAGCCAGTGGAAGCCGGTCAAATTGACGTCGCAAAGTGGATTTTGACGCATTCAGCATTTGGGCACTATTTTGGGCTCTCTGGTACCTAAAATGGGTATTTGGTACCACATTTGGGATTTGGTCCTCTTTTGGCGTTTAGGTACGATATCGGGGATATTGGCGCTATCTTTGGAGTGTAGGTCATGAAACTTCGACACGTGTTCAAGGGGGCGGTCAAGCTTAAAGGTGATATCGACTTGGAGAGTGATCTATATTTGGGAATAGGCTTAAAGATAGGTTGGCTAGTAATTTGGTTGGTTAATAAACAGACTTGAACTCTACTTCTTCTGCTCACGACGCACGTTCTCCTCCCCTCTTCTCCGGGCAAGAGTGATTTGGCTTCCCCGGCGGGTCAATGCACGCGTGTTACAAGGACACAGAAGACCGATCTTGGATTGTTGGCCAAGATCGGGAAGAGCGACCGCGGGAAGTTTGGCCCGGATCGATCAAGTACTCACTCTCAACTCAACTGCTAGGGTAGCAGCAACAAAGGAAAAGGATTTCGGACACAAGATCGCGAGACGGCTCAAGTGGTCAGAAGATCTGGACAAGACGTTCAAGACAAGACCGAGCAAGATCGAAGCGATCCACTCGACAGATTGGCGTGTTTCATTTTGGAGAAACCAAGGACCGGTCTGCCCAAATTGCGCACTTCCAGCAAGATCGGACGATCCCAAGACCAGATCGGACTGATCCCAAGGCAAGATCGACGCAAGACTACTATGTGCTGAGTGAAGATTTCCGCACAGCAAACACCCCGATCCCGAATACAAATCGAGATCGGTGCGATTCACGATCGAGATCGCGACATCTTTAACTAGATATCGCCGCGACTCGAGATCAAGATCGCAGAACCCCTGTTCGTGGTGTGATGATTTCCGCACCGGAAGCGAACTCTCAACCCAACCTCTCAGCGAGATCGACATCCTCCAAGGCCGTTACGAAGAGCTCAAGCCAGCCCAACCGACGGGTACACAAGGTGAGCACAAGGTCATACAACAAGGCACGGATCGGAGTACCCCCTCCGTGAGTCGGCAAGTCTGGGCAAGTGGAAGCTCGACACTCACTAAAGTAATTTTGTGAGATCGACTTCACCACTATGGTGCGCGTGCCCGGATCTTCTGAGGCCTCTGGATTTCACCGTGAGTCCACTGGCGAAGATGTCAAGATGAAGCAAGAACCTGGGATTGAAGTGTCAGCGACAGAGGGATCGACGCAGACACGCAGAAGCACAAGATCCTCAGATCATCAGAGTTTTGGGAGGGGCTCTGATGAAATGAAAATGAAAGAGGAAGATCGAGAGATCAATCTGGAAGGTAAACCTCAACCCCCTCCTAGGGTCCTTTCGGGGGCCACCACAGATCGCTCTTTCCAGAGCGATCTGCTGGATGAAAATTCAATGATGAAAACCAAATCGGCGAAAGCCAAACCCTATGCCTTAGTCGATAGGTCGCCCGACCTCAAGCCGAGGAGCACAATCGCGAGATCGACCACATCGGAACGATCCACGACGAGATCGATGGGATCAGACGTCAAAGATCGCCAGATCGGCCGAACCGTGCAACCGAAGATCGGAGTCAAAGAGGAATACGATGAAACACCGGATAAGATCGCGATACCGAAGACGGAATATAACCCAATGAAGATCGCGTCCAGGGAGAAGGAGACGACGGGTGAAGCGCGGGAGCGTGCGAAATGGCATTACTATTATGGCCATTTGAAGACGCTGCTCAAGACGGACCCAGTGTTCAAGATATTAAGGCCCAAGTTGATTGATCCTCTGGATAAGCCGATATCGGTCCCACCTCCTGGGACCAACAGAGTCGACGAGATCAATTTGATTTTGCAGATGTTGGACGACATGGGTGTCTGCCCTAACGCCTTTGATGGAGATGAACTGCTGAGTTGCAGCTTGGAACGGTTGAAGAACGCGGCGAATGAGTTTGTGGAGATCATGATAGTGCTGGTGAGCAAAGCGAATACTCCTGAAGACAAGATCGGGACACCCTCGGGCTCGCTCCGGAAACACCCCGCGGGATCGCCCCGCTACGCCTCGGACGACTCCGAGAGCGAGTCAGATGGATCCATCAGCATTTGTCGGATGTCTCTGGGACCATCGGGTGGTACGTTTTTAAAGGACAAGATCGGCCAAGCCAATACCGACGCCTTTAAAGGACAAGCCAGGAGCGACATGCCACGGAGATCGGCCGGTACCCGTACTGGGCTGGATGATCAGGAAGAGGGCGATCTAAGTCGGTACTTCAATTCAGCCATGAAGGAGTACGAGGCGGATCAACGTACAGCTCAGCGAATGAATCGACAGCCAAACCGCCACCCAGATCGCCGTACTTTTCTCCAACCCTCACACGAAAGCCATGACATGCCGGATGTGGAGATGGAATCGGTGGAGTCGGACACTTACCAACAGATCCATCATGGGGCGGAATACGACCCGGATGATTTATGAATGTCCGAACCACAGCGCCCTCACGTAGCCGCGACCGGTGCGACTACCGGAGGGGAAAGCATCACGCAGAGGATCAGAATCTCAGCGATTTATGAGCTGAAAGAATTCTCAGGGAAGGATCGGGAAGAAGACAAAGCACGAACCTGGATCGGCAAACTGAAGTCAGCGTTTATCCGAGACCAAGCACCGGACGAAGAGAGATGTCTGGTCTTCGGTGATCTCATGGTGGGCCCAGCCCGCTACTGGTACCGACAGCTGAGTAGATCGACGAGACTCAATTGGAAAGAATTGATGAACAGTTTTCTTGTGGAATATGCGGGACACGGGATGTCCACAAGCCGACAATATTACCATGCAAAGAAACGATCGGAGGAAGATCCTTTGCAGTACCTGTATCGGCTTAATGTGATGGGAACGCAGGCGAAGATACCGGTGATGACTGGATTGCCAGCTGCGCGCAAGGAACATGTCAAACATTTCATTGACACCTTGGACGACCCCGATCTGTCCAATCAATTGCTATTGCTGAATGTAGGAGACGCGGATGCCATGCAAAAGACACTGCATGGATATCAACAAGGGAGATCGCGTCAAGGGAAAGTGATGATGGGATCGTCCAAGTTCAGGCAGAAGGGAACTCCGGGTCCAGCATTTTCTAAGCCTGCACAAGCGGTGAGGATGGTCCGTACCGAGGACGTCAGCAGCGAGTCAGGTTCGGACACCTGCGGATCGTATTTGGAAGATCGATTGAGATCGATCCATGTGGCTGCTACTACGGATCGGTGTTCGTCCCCCAATGACGTTGCAGCAAAAGCGAGATCGGCCGACCCGAACACTCGTCAAGATTATCAAGATCGCAATATGCCATTGAAGCCGTGTGCTCATTGCGGATCGACCAAGCATGGAGATCTCGGTTGCTGGAAGCGGCTCACTTGCCAGAAGTGTGGTCGTAAAGGATACCCCTCTGACAATTGGTTTTTCGTGAGTCGCGCCTGCGGTGAGATGCACGACCCGGGGAAGTGTCCTATGGAGGAGTTCTATAACATGATCCGCCAATGGTACGTCCCAACCAAGCATGCGGGGATACTGCCAGAGAAGGCAGAGAAGATGTTAAACTAGGACGCTCGCCAGGTTTGAATCTGGTACGAGCCGAGCGTTCTGGGCTCTGCATCATTGCATACGTGGAAAAAAAGAATACAGATAGCAAGAGTAAGCAGGATACAGAGATGGATACAAATATATCTCGTTCGAAGTCAAAACGTGTCGTTTCCGTGTCCCATCTGAAGAGGATCGGTGAGTACTCGCGATCTGAACCAACTATGGAGATCGAGCTCGCTTACGGTGATTCTCGCGGATACTGGAAACATTACTCGCCCGGGAAGTGGTTCAAACAAGCGAAAGCTGTTGGCAAGATCAACAACGAAAAGGCCACTCTGCTATTTGATTCTGGTGCTGAAGTGTTGATCATTGACACCACCTTTGCTCGTAAGGTCGGTTGCAATATTGACGAAAGTCAACGACAAGAATGTATCGGGATCGGAGAAACCCCGTACATGACGATAGGACGTACCAAGATCAAAGTAACCCTCGCGGGATCGCTGGTATACTATTTCAATGTATGGGTAGGCGATCTGGCAGGGCAAGAAGTGATTCTGGGCATGGACTTTATGGTGCCTGCCGGAGTGCGGCTCGATCTAGCTGATGGCGCGCTATGTCAACCAGAAGAAATCCGTATCCATCTCGCAGGACGTCGCCCCGCGTACGGATCGAAGATACAACATGTAACGGCGTAAGACCAACATGTGTTTATCCCAGTCGGAGAGTCAAGAGAAGTGAAGATCGGGATCGGAGAGGCTAAGATGAAGTTGTGGGTCACTAGAGGGCCAGATTGGGTCCCCTCTGTGATCTCGGGGTTGGGTAAGACGAAATACCTGCAGATGACCAACATTGGCGACGGTGAGATCATACTGCCCACCCACACGATATTAGGCTTGTGGACCGAAGGCGATATGGTACCATGAACTCAAGGTTTTGTGAAGGTCGGATCGGGGAAGTACAAGTAGTGGCAAACTCTGACGTATGAGGCTACGACGGATCGAGTGAATGAACTCCCAAATGAGCAGATCGGACCATTGGTAGATTGGCCTACGTACGCCACTCCCAAATGCAACATGAAGCGTCCGTCTGATGCGCTAAAGGACATACCTCCAGCGATCTCCATGGTAAAGCAGCAAGCTGGCGAAGACGACTTGCAAAATGCAGATACTGTGGTTGCAAGGGAATGAACGGTCAACGGAGTTGGATCGAATCCACTCGATGAGACAAATCTATCGTCGAAGGATAACGATCGTGAGATCGAAACCGAGATCGCTATGAGAAGAGATCACGGGACCGAACGAGAAGAACAAGACAACAGACTGTCTTCATTGAACGTCAATCTTGCAGACAACAGAGCAGGACTGGATCGGTCCGAGGCGACGCAAAGATCTGAAGAGGACAAGCCGTCTAAGATCGACGAAGCTGACTCCGCAGAAGCACCAGTCTACTATCACGAGAGTGGAGATTTGTTTGCCGAAGACATCGAGCAACACCTGGCGGTGTTACCAGAGATGTTCACTGCTACGGAAGAAGTGACAATTAACGACATTCAGATCGGCTATCCGGACGTTCCTCTCACCTCAGATCCACAAAGACTCAGATCGCTGATTTGGAAGAGCCGTCACCTTTTTATGGGGAAGGGCAATGCTCTACCACCAGCGGCACGACGAGTGATTTGTGATATCGATGTCGGTGGAGCCGCACCAATTGCGCAAAGAGTCCGTCCGGTCGCACCCAAATGTCGGGAGAAGCTGTCAGATCTCATCAAAGGACTGTTAGCAGCCAAGATCGTTCAGCCATCCACGTCACCTTGGGCGTCTCCGATAGTGGTGATCATCAAGAAGAACGGAGTGGATATTCGCCTTTGAATTGATTATCGAAGAGTGAACCAGCTGACGCGCCTGATGGTTTATCCCATGCCGTTGATCAGCGATCTGTTGGAAGATCTGGATAAAGCTCTATGGTACTGTTCGCTAGACATGGCAAGTGGATTCTGGGTCGGCGAAATGACTGAACGAGCAAAACTGATCTCAGCGTTTGTCACGCCGTTTGGCTTGTTCGAGTGGCTACGAATGCCTTTTTGGGCTTAAGAACGCGCCCCAGATCTACCAACGTCTGGTTGACAATGCGTTGTATGGATATCTCAAGATCGGCCAGAGATCAGCCTCTGATGGCCCGATCGACGTGTTCAAAGATGGAGAACCTGAGACAGATCGACGACCCTCTATACTGGGACGCCGATCTTACATTGACGATATTCTCATACCAGCCACGTCATGGGAATCTTTGTACACAAAAGTAGAACGGTTGCTGGAGGCTTGTGATAAGTGGAATCTGTCTATCAGTCTCACGAAGAGCTTTTGGGGGTGCCGCAAGGTCGATTATTTGGGACATCGAGTGTCGATGGATGGTCTGGAGGCTCAGCCCAAGAACCTAGAGTCGTTGGTTAACATCCCGTTTCCTAGCACGCTGCGAGCTATGCAATCTTTTCTCGGGAGCTTGAACTACTACCGCCGTTTCATTCAGGACTTCGCGGTGTACGCCGCGGTGTTGTATGAGTTAAGAGAATTGGATTTCTTCGAGATCGGCCGATCTCAGCTCGCAGCAGGAGACGAATGGTCGAACGAGGGTCGATGGACAGAAGCCATGGTTGCTTTCACTATGCTAAAGGCTAAGATAGCTACAGCTCCCATGCTCAAACATTTCGACCCAGATCGCCCTCCCGTGATCGTGGTCTACGCTAGCAAGTAGACTGTCTCAGCGGCCCTGATACAGGAGTACGGCGGCGTGTACCATCCGGTGACGTTTAATAGCCGCACTCTAAAGCCCAATGAGCTTAACTACGGAATGGTGGAAAAGGAAGTGCTGGCGTTACTTCGTGTTTTGGATGTATGCCATACTACGCTTGCCTCGCGGGAGATCACTGTGCTGACCCGACATTCTACGTTAGCGTGGTTGATGCAATCTCGAGGGCTCAACGGGAGATTAGGACGGTGGGCTGCTTTGCTGTCGAACTGGACTATAGAGGTGAAGAGGTGCGAAAAAGGAGAAGAAGAGATTTTGGGCATGCTAGCAGCAAGTATCATCCCGAGAGAAGAGGTGGAAGAGATGATGATTGCGATTTCCCCCCGAAAGGACTGCCGACTCAAAATATCGACGCCTCCTCCAACGGTGGAAGCAGATGAGGAGTTGCTGGTGGCCAGTTTCGATGGATCGGCGAGGATAAAAAAGAAAGGAGGGTCGTACAGTGCTGTGATATGGAGGTTACCCGAGTAGACGATCGTGGCGACAGAATCCAGATACGCTCTCGACCTCACCGTGAATGAAGCTGAGTATCATGGCTTGCTATTATGCTTCGATTTACTGGCCGATCTGGACAGGGGAAGAATAATCTTTTGTGGGGACTCTAATTTGTTGATCCGCCAGATGCGCAGTGAGATCGACTGCAAAGCCCCGGGCCTGCAACTCTTGAAACATAAAGCGTTAGAGAAATTGCGATCTTGGCCTAGTCACGAGTTTCTGCCTATGTAGCGAGAGTGGAACCATAGCACAGATCGACTAGCCAGCACAGCATTGCAGAATGAAAAGGGAAGAACCGTTGTATCTGAAGAAGATCGGCAAGATCTGATGACTCTGAACCGTCTCGATGAATTGTTGAAGCCCAAGCAAGATGGTCAGCTGGCTCGGATAACTGCGATCACGAGATCAGCCGGAAGGATACGTCATGAACCTGAAGTGATACAGGAGGAGATCGAACAGAGGACTAGGATTCAACGAATTGTCCAAGCTCAAGATGAAGAGCGTTGGATTGTCAATCTCAAGAAGTATCTAAGTGGCGATGTATCAAACTTGGACGCGGGAGAAGTGAAGATGTGCGCAAAACTGGCGCCGGAATACGAGATCGATGAGAACGATCTGCTATCTTTCTGCCCCATGGCGAAAAGAGAGTCAGAAGATCGCGATGGTTTGATGCGGTTGGTGATCCCTGAGACGTTGCAACAGGATTTTTTGCATCACTATCATACGAGTCTGGAAGGAGGCCATCAGGGTATCGGCAGAACCTATCAGAGGATCAGATCGCGATTCCATTGGAGAGGACTGTATCGGAGTGTGCAACGATATGTGGGCGAATGTACCGACTGTGAAAGCGGAAAAGGAAGTCCGACGATTCATGGGAGATTCCCGGGCAACTTGCAAGCAACCTATCCATTCCAGATTATCGCAATGGATCATATACCGTCGTTGCCCAAGTCCATCAAGGGGAACACTTAGCTGCTCATTTGGGTGGACCTCTTCTCGGGATATGTGATTGCAAAGGCTAGCTCATCACGGACGGCACAAACAGAAGCGGAGAATTACGAAGAATGTGTGTTTCGACGCTTCGGAGCTAGCGAGGCTATCAGGCACGATCGAGAACCGGGATTTATGTCCGCTTTTTTTCGAGCCTTCAGTCGGATCGTAGGACAGAAACAGCGTGCTACCATGGCCTACAGACCACAAGCAAATGGAACAGCCGAACGGATGGTGCAAACCTTGACGCATTCACTCATTATGTACATGGCTGATGTTGATCAACGAGACTGGGATGAGTATGCTGAGCGGCTCAAATTTGCAATTAACACCGCACAAGATCGGATCCGGGGGGACACCCTATTTTATCTGATTCATGGGTGGGACCCGCGATCGACATTGGAAGCTACGCTATCAGTGGGGAATACGGGAACACGAGATCGCGATCCAAAGAGGTGGAGATACAAAATCCAAAGACAATACCAGCGAGCCCGATCTGCAGTGAACGATCATTTACAAGCCGCAATCCAGGAGCGAGCGGATCGACACAATGAAGATCTGGAACCACACGAGATCGAAGTAGGAGCGCAAGTTTGGCTATACCTGGATCGAGTCAAAGAGGGATATGCGAAGAAGCTAGCGCATATGTGGCATGGTCCATTCCGAGTTGCAGACATATGTGGAGATCACGCTGTGAAATTGGAGATTGCTGGAACCCCATATCGGCTATTTCCGATCGTACATTTATCGAAGCTGAAGAAGGTAAAGACGTTCCCTGAACGGCCGAAGGATCAGCTTACGATAGGCGAAGCAGATCGTTTTGACTTTGATGAATCTTTGTTACCAGAAGACAGTTGGGAGAGCAATCTTGAAGAGGGAGAATGCGAAGTGGAAGAAATATTGGACGTGCGATCTGGTAGGAAAACCCGTTATGGGCGAGTACACCGACATTTTTTGGTGAAGTGGAAGGGACATCTCGATTTAAGTTGGGTAGATGAGGCCGATCTGAGTTGTGGGGCGATCTTGCAGGAGTTTGAGCGGAGCCGAGTGAGTCGGAACCGATTCGAAGTAATGCAGTCTCACGAAGGCAAGTTAGACGAACCTTAACGGTCGGGGCCGACATGCTGGGAGGCAGCATATGCGGATGCACGGGTTGCAAGGTGTGCTAGGCGGTATCATACGCTGATGGATGGAGTGGCAAGGTGTGCTAGGAGGTATTACATGCTGATAGATGGGGTGGCAAGGTGTGCTAGGAGGTGGCACATGCGGGTGGATGGAGCTATGTGTGTGAGTATGGAGACAGTCCAGTGAATTGCCTTACTGAATGACACGGACTTGAGTGCTTGGATAAGTTGATGAGTGACTATACTGAAGCCGATTGCTGCCCAAACGGACTTCAGTACAGGGGGCGGTTGTGGTAAAGTCACTAATCAAATGATGGGACGTGGATCGGTGTCCACCCAGTTAGGACGTCACCCACTGGCGGAAAAGGTACGCCTGGGACCAGGCGATGCGACGTGATTTGAGACGGGGCGTAGAAAGGGGTGATTTCCACGGTGCGATCTGGGATGAGGGACTGGATTGAACCGAGCGACCTTTCTGAAGGCTGATCAAAGGCAAGTATGTGGATGTTGAAGCAGAATCATTTGAGAAAGGTACGCCTGGGACCAGGCGATGCGACGTGATTTGAGACGGGGCGTAGAAAAGGGTTGTGGTGAAGTCGATCTCACAAAATTACTTTAGTAAGTGTCGATCTTCCACTTGCCCAGACTTGCCGACTCACGGAGGGGGTACTCCGATCCGTGCCTTGTTGTATGACCTTGTGCTCACCTTGTGTACCCGTCGGTCGGGCTGGCTTGAGCTCTTCGTAACGGCCTTGGAGGATGTCGATCTCGCTGAGAGGTTGGGTTAAGAGTTCGCTTCCGGTGCGGAAATCTTCACACCACGAACATGGGTTCTGCAATCTTGATTCTCGAGTCGCGGCGATATCTAGTTAAAGATGTCGCGGTCTCGATCTTGAATCGCACCGATCTCGATTTGTCTTCGGGATTGGGGTCTTTGCTATGCGGAAATCTTTACTCAGCACATAGTAGTCTTGCGTCGATCTTGCCTTGGGATCAGTCCGATCTGGTCTTGGGATCGTCCGATCTTGCTGGAAGTGCGCAATTTGGGCAGACCGGTCCTTGGTTTCTCCAAAATGAAACACGCCAATCTGTCGAGTGGATCGCTTCGATCTTGCTCGGTCTTGTCTTGAACGTCTTGTCCAGATCTTCTGACCACTTGAGCCGTCTCGCGATCTTGTGTCCGAAATCCTTTTCCTTTGTTGCTGCTACCCTAGCAGTTGAGTTGAGAGTGAGTACTTGATCGATCCGGGCCAAACTTCCCGCGGTCGCTCTTCCCGATCTTGGCCAACAATCCAAGATCGGTCTTCTGTGTCCTTGTAACACGCGTGCATTGACCCGCCGGGGAAGCCAAATCACTCTTGCCCGGAGAAGAGGGGAGGAGAACGTGCGTCGTGAGCAGAAGAAGTAGAGTTCAAGTCTGTTTATTACCCAACCAAATTACTAGCCAACCTATCTTTAAGCCTATTCCCAAATATAGATCACTCTCCAAGTCGATATCACCTTTAAGCTTGACCGCCCCCTTGAACACGTGTCGAAGTTTCGTGCCCTGTACTCCAATGATAGCGCCAATATTCCCGATACCGTACCTGAACGCCAAAAGAGGACCAAATCCCAAATGTGGTACCAAATACCCATTTTAGGTACCCGAAAGCCCAAAATAGTGCCCAAATGCTGAATGCGTCTAAATCCATTTTGCGACGTCAATTTGACCGGCTTCCACTGGCTCTTTTGATCTGAACTTTTGAGACATCACTCATGGACCTTCAACAAGCATGTTTGTCATGATCCAAAAGTCTCATCAACGATACATCCATAATCAGTGGGGATCATGACCGATCAGATGCCCAATTCGAGATCGTTGAGGATCGACACAGTACAATCCGGCCATATATGTTCTTCCGTTCATTGTGTGCACTCCGATGCTTTTTCAAAATGATTCTGCTTCAACATCCACATCCTTGCCTCTGATCAGCCTTCAGAGTGGTCGTTCGGTTCAATCCAGTCCCTCATCCCAGATCGCACCGTGGAAATCACCCCTTTCTACGCCCCGTCTCAAACCACGTCGCATCGCCTGGTCCCAGGCGTACTTTTCTCAAATGATTCTGCTTCAACATCCACATCCTTTCCTTTGATCAGCCTTTAGAGTGGTCGTTCGGTTCAATCCAGTCCCTCGTCCCATATCGCACCGTTGGAATCACCCCTTTCTACGCCCCGTCTCAAATCACGTCGCATCGCCTGGTCCCAGGCGTACCTTTTCCGCCAGTGGGTGACATCTTAACTGGGTAAAAACCGATCCTCGTACAAAATTTGAGTAGTGACTTTGCCACAACCGCCCCCTGTACTGAAGTCTTTCGTACAGCAATCGACCTCAGTACAGTCACTCATCAACTTCGTTCCAAGCACTCAAGTCCGTCTCATGGTCTCTCCGACGCATCCACCCACCTCGCCGATCTCTTCAGAAGGATCCACCATGTTTCTGTCTCCGGATAGCGACCTGTCGCCCGGATCGCCCGATCTCGGAGGACACACCCCAGCGGTCCCCGATCGGCCTGGGTCTCCGCGCCATCTAGATCATCCGGGATCGCAGATCCCTCGTCTGCAGGACAAGTTCAAACCTGCTCCATCGTCTTAGTCCAAGGTCGATATCCAAGCCCGATCGTCTTTCATGATCGTGTAAGTCATTCAATCGTCTTCTTTTTGGTACTTCAATTCTTTGCAGCTTCCACGATCTCGATCCTCATCGCTCCACATCATTCAGGAAGGTAATTCACTTGGCTATCTCCATACTCACATACAAAAACCTCATCCACCAGCATGTGCTACCGTCTAGCACATCTTTCAACCCCTACATCCGCATATGCTACCTCCCGCATACTTGTTCGAACTGTTAAGGTTCGTCCGACTTGCCTTCATGAGACTGCATTACGTCGAAACGGTTTTAACTCACTCGGTTACGCTCAAACTCTTGCAAGATCGCCCCACAACTTAGATCGGCCTCGTCCACCCAACTTAGATCGGGATATCCCTTCCACTTCACCAGAAACTGCCGGTGTACTCGCCCATAACGGGTTTTTCTACCAGATCGCACGTCCAATATTGCCTCTACTTCGTATTCCCCTTCTTCAAGATCGCCATCCCAACTGTCTTCTGGCAGCAGAGCTTCATCGAAATCCAAGCGATCTGATTCCTCTATCGTAACTGATCCTTCGGGCGTTCAGGGAACGTCTTTACCTTTTTTAGCTTCGATAAATGTACGATCGGAAATAACCGATATGGGGTTCCAGCGATCTCCAATTTTACAGCATGATCTCCACATACGTCCGCAACTCGGAATGGCCCATGCCACATATGCGCTAGCTTCTTCGCATATCCCTCTTTGACTCGATCCAGGTATAGCCAAACTTGTATACCTACTTCGATCTCGTGTGGTTCCAGATCTTCGTTGTGTCGATCCGCTCGCTCCTGGATTGCGGCTTGTAAATGATCGTTCACTGCAGATCGGGCTCGCTGGTATTGTCTTTGGATTTTGTATCTCCACCTCTTTGGATCGCGATCTCGTGTCCCCGTATTCCCCACTGGTAGTGTAGCCTCCAAAGTCGATCGCGGGTCCCACCCATGAATCAGATAAAACGGGGTATCCCCCCGGATCCGATCTTGTGCAGTGTTAATGGCAAATGTGAGACGCTCAGCATACTCATCCCAGTCTCGCTGGTCAACTTCATCCACGTACATCTTGAGCGAATGTGTCAGGGTTTGCACCATCCGTTCGGCATTTCCATTTGCTTGTGGCCTGTAAGCCATAGTAGCACGCTGTTTTTGTCCTACGATCCGACTGAAGGCTCGAAAGAAGTCGGACATAAATCCCGGTTCTCTATCGTGCCTGATAGCCTCGCTAACTCCGAAGCGTCGAAACACACATTCTTCGTAATTCTCCGCTTTTGTTTGTGCCGTCCGTGATGAGCTAGCCTTTGCAATCACATATCCCGAGAAAAGGTCGACCCAAATGAGCAGTTCGGTGTTCCCCTTGATGGACTTGGGCAACGACGGTATATGATCCATGGCGATGATCTGGAATGGATAGGTTGCGTGTAGATTGCCCGGTGATTTCCCATGAATCATCGGGTTTCCTTTCCCGGTCTCACAGTCGGTACATTCGCCCACATATCGTTGAACGCTCCGATACAGTCCTCTCCAATGAAATCGCGATCTGATCCTCTGATAGGTTCTGCCGATACCCTGATGGCCTCCTTCCAGACTCGTGTGATAGTGATGCAAAAAATCCTGCTGCAACGTCTCAGGGATCACCAACCGCATCAAACCATCGCGATCTTCTGACTCTCTTTTCGCCATGGGGCAGAAAGATAGCAGATCGTTCTCATCGATCTCGTATTCCGGCGCCAGTTTTGCGCACATCTTCACTTCTCCCGCGTCCAAGTTTGATACATCGCCACTTAGATACTTCTTGAGATTGACAATCCAACGCTCTTCATCTTGAGCTTGGACAATTCGTTGAATCCTAGTCCTCTGTTCGATCTCCTCCTGTATCACTTCAGGTTCATGACGTATCCTTCCGGCTGATCTCGTGATCGCAGTTATCCGAGCCAGCTGACCATCTTGCTTGGGCCTCAACAATTCATCGAGACGGTTCAGAGTCGTCAGATCTTGCCGATCTTCTTCAGATACAACGGTTCTTCCCTTTTCATTCTGCAATGCTGTGCTGGCTAGTCGATCTGTGCTATGGTTCCACTCTCGCTACATAGGCAGAAACTCGTGACTAGGCCAAGATCGCAATTTCTCTAACGCTTTATGTTTCAAGAGTTGCAGGCCCGGGGCTTTGCAGTCGATCTCACTGCGCATCTGGCGGATCAACAAATTAGAGTCCCCACAAAAGATTATTCTTCCCCTGTCCAGATCGGCCAGTAAATCGAAGCATAATAGCAAGCCATGATACTCAGCTTCATTCACGGTGAGGTCGAGAGCGTATCTGGATTCTGTCGCCACGATCGTCTACTCGGGTAACCTCCATATCACAGCACTGTACGACCCTCCTTTCTTTTTTATCCTCGCCGATCCATCGAAACTGGCCACCAGCAACTCCTCATCTGCTTCCACCGTTGGAGGAGGCGTCGATATTTTGAGTCGGCAGTCCTTTCGGGGGGAAATCGCAATCAGCATCTCTTCCACCTCTTCTCTCGGGGTGATACTTGCTGCTAGCATGCCCAAAATCTCTTCTTCTCCTTTTTCGCACCTCTTCACCTCTATAGTCCAGTTCGACAGCAAAGCAGCCCACCGTCCTAATCTCCCGTTGAGCCCTCGAGATTGCATCAACCACGCTAACGTAGAATGTCGGGTCAGCACAGTGATCTCCCGCGAGGCAAGCGTAGTATGGCATACATCCAAAACACGAAGTAACGCCAGCACTTCCTTTTCCACCATTCCGTAGTTAAGCTCATTGGGCTTTAGAGTGCGGCTAGTAAACGTCACCGGATGGTACACGCCGCCGTACTCCTGTATCAGGGCCGCTGAGACAGTCTACTTGCTAGCGTAGACCACGATCACGGGAGGGCGATCTGGGTCGAAATGTTTGAGCATGGGAGCTGTAGCTATCTTAGCCTTTAGCATAGTGAAAGCAACCATGGCTTCTGTCCATCGACCCTCGTTCGACCATTCGTCTCCTGCTGCGAGCTGAGATCGGCCGATCTCGAAGAAATCCAATTCTCTTAACTCATACAACACCGCGGCGCACACCGCGAAGTCCTGAATGAAACGGCGGTAGTAGTTCAAGCTCCCGAGAAAAGATTGCATAGCTCGCAGCGTGCTAGGGAACGGGATGTTGACCAACGACTCCAAATTCTTGGGCTGAGCCTCCAGACCATCCATCGACACTCGATGTCCCAAATAATCGACCTTGCGGCACCCCCAAAAGCTCTTCGTGAGACTGATAGACAGATTCCACTTATCACAAGCCTCCAGCAACCGTTCTACTTTTGTGTACAAAGATTCCCATGACGTGGCTGGTATGAGAATATCGTCAATGTAAGATCGGCGTCCCAGTATAGAGGGTCGTCGATCTGTCTCAGGTTCTCCATCTTTGAACACGTCGATCGGGCCATCAGAGGCTGATCTCTGGCCGATCTTGAGATATCCATACAACGCATTGTCAACCAGACGTTGGTAGATCTGGGGCGCGTTCTTAAGCCCAAAAGGCATTCGTAGCCACTCGAACAAGCCAAACGGCGTGACAAACGCTGAGATCAGTTTTGCTCGTTCAGTCATTTCGCCGACCCAGAATCCACTTGCCATGTCTAGCGAACAGTACCATAGAGCTTTATCCAGATCTTCCAACAGATCGCTGATCAACGGCATGGGATAAACCATCAGGCGCGTCAGCTGGTTCACTCTTCGATAATCAATTCAAAGGCGAATATCCACTCCGTTCTTCTTGATGATCACCACTATCGGAGACGCCCAAGGTGACGTGGATGGCTGAACGATTTTGGCTGCTAACAGTCCTTTGATGAGATCTGACAGCTTCTCCCGATATTTGGGTGCGACCGGACGCACTCTTTGCGCAATTGGTGCGGCTCCACCGACATCGATATCACAAATCGCTCCTCGAGCCGCTGGTGGTAGAGCATTGCCTTTCCCCATAAAAAGGTGACGGGTCTTCCAAATCAGCGATCTGAGTCTTTGTTGATCTGCGGTGAGAGGAACGTCCGGATAGCCGATCTGAATGTCGTTAATTGTCACTTCTTCCGTAGCAGTGAACATCTCTGGTAACACCGCCAGGTGTTGCTCGATGTCTTCGGCAAACAAATCTCCACTCTCGTGATAGTAGACTGGTGCTTCTGCGGAGTCAGCTTCGTCGATCTTAGACGGCTTGTCCTCTTCAGATCTTTGCGTCGCCTCGGACCGATCCAGTCCTGCTCTGTTGTCTGCAAGATTGACGTTCAATGAAGACAGTCTGTTGTCTTGTTCTTCTCGTTCGGTCCCGTGATCTCTTCTCATCGCGATCTCGGTTTCGATCTCACGATCGTTATCCTTTGACGATAGATTTGTCTCATCGAGTGGATTCGATCCAACTCCGTTGACCGTTCATTCCCTTGCAACCACTGTATCTGCATTTTGCAAGTCGTCTTCGCCAGCTTGCTGCTTTACCATGGAGATCGCTGGAGGTATGTCCTTTAGCGCATCAGACGGACGCTTCATGTTGCATTTGGGAGTGGCGTACGTAGGCCAATCTACCAATGGTCCGATCTGCTCATTTGGGAGTTCATTCACTCGATCCGTCGTAGCCTCATACGTCAGAGTTTGCCACTACTTGTACTTCCCTGACCCGACTGTCACCAAACCTTGAGTTCGCGGTACCATATCGCCTTCGGTCCACAAGCCTAATATCGTGTGGGTGGGCAGTATGATCTCACCGTCGCCAATGTTGGTCATCTGCAGGTATTTCGCCTTACCCAACCCCGAGATCACAGAGGGGACCCAATCTGGCCCTCTAGTGACCCACAACTTCATCTTAGCCCCTCCGATCCCGATCTTCACTTCTCTTGACTCTCCGACTGGGATAAACACATGTTGGTCTTACGCCGTTACATGTTGTATCTTCGATCCGTACGCGGGGCGACGTCCTGCGAGATGGATACGGATTTCTTCTGGTTGACATAGCGCGCCATCAGCTAGATCGAGCCGCACTCCGGCAGGCACCATAAAGTCCATGCCCAGAATTGCTTCTTGCCCTGCCAGATCGCCTACCCATACATTGAAATAGTATACCAGCGATCCCGCGAGGGTTACTTTGATCTTGGTAAGTCCTATCGTCATGTACGGGGTTTCTCCGATCCCGATACATTCTTGTCGTTGACTTTCGTCAATATTGCAACCGACCTTACGAGCAAAGGTGGTGTCAATGATCGACACTTCAGCACCAGAATCAAATAGCAGAGTGGCCTTTTCGTTGTTGATCTTGCCAACAGCTTTCGCCTGTTTGAACCACTTCCCGGGCGAGTAATGTTTCCAGTATCCGCGAGAATCACCGTAAGCGAGCTCGATCTCCATAGTTGGTTCAGATCGCGAGTACTCACCGATCCTCTTCAGATGGGACACGGAAACGACACGTTTTGACTTCGAACGAGATATATTTGTATCCATCTCTGTATCCTGCTTACTCTTGCGATCTGTATTCTTTTTTCCACGTATGCAATGATGCAGAGCCCAGAACGCTCGGCTCGTACCAGATTCAAACCTGGCGAGCGTCCTAGTTTAACATCTTCTCTGCCTTCTCTGGCAGTGTCCCCGCATGCTTGGTTGGGACGTACCATTGGCGGATCATGTTATAGAACTCCTCCATAGGACACTTCCCCGGGTCGTGCATCTCACCGCAGGCGCGACTCACGAAAAACCAATTTTCAGAGGGGTATCCTTTACGACCACACTTCTGGCAAGTGAGCCGCTTCCAGCAACCGAGATCTCCATGCTTGGTCGATCCGCAATGAGCACACGGCTTCAATGGCATATTGCGATCTTGATAATCTTGACGAGTGTTCGGGTCGACCGATCTCGCGTTTGCTGCAACGTCATTGGGGGACGAACACCGATCCGTAGTAGCAGCCACATGGATCGATCTCAATCGATCTTCCAAATACGATCCGCAGGTGTCCGAACCTGACTCGCTGCTGACGTCCTCGGTACGGACCATCCTCACCGCTTGTGCAGGCTTAGAAAATGCTGGACCCGGAGTTCCCTTCTGCCTGAACTTGGACGATCCCATCATCACTTTCCCTTGACGCGATCTCCCTTGTTGATATCCATGCAGTGTCTTTTGCATGGCATCCGCGTCTCCTACATTCAGCAATAGCAATTGATTGGACAGATCGGGGTCGTCCAAGGTGTCAATGAAATGGTTGACATGTTCCTTGCGCGCAGCTGGCAATCCAGTCATCACCGGTATCTTCGCCTGCGTTCCCATCACATTAAGCCGATACAGGTACTGCAAAGGATCTTCCTCCGATCGTTTCTTTGCATGGTAATATTGTCGGCTTGTGGACATCCCGTGTCCCGCATATTCCACAAGAAAACTGTTCATCAATTCTTTCCAATTGAATCTCGTCGATCTACTCAGCTGTCGGTACCAGTAGCGGGCTGGGCCCACCATGAGATCACCGAAGACCAGACATCTCTCTTCGTCCGTTGCTTGGTCTCGGATAAACGCTGACTTCAGTTTGCCGATCCAGGTTCGTGCTTTGTCTTCTTCCCGATCCTTCCCTGAGAATTCTTTCAGCTCATAAATCGCTGAGATTCTGATCCTCTGCGTGATGCTTCCCCCTCCGGTAGTCGCACCGGTCGCGGCTACGTGAGGGCGCTGTGGTTCGGACATTCATAAATCATCCGGGTCGTATTCCGCCCCATGATGGATCTGTTGGTAAGTGTCCGACTCCACCGATTCCATCTCCACATCCGGCATGTCATGGCTTTCGTGTGAGGGTTGGAGCAAAGCACGTCGATCTGGGTAGCGGTTTGGCTGTCGATTCATTCGCTGAGCTGTACGTTGATCCGCCTCGTACTCCTTCATGGCTAAATTGAAGTACCGACTTAGATCGCCCTCTTCCTGATCATCCAGCCCAGTACGGGTACCGGCCGATCTCCGTGGCATGTCGCTCCTGGCTTGTCCTTTAAAGGCGTCGGTATTGGCTTGTCCGATCTTGTCCTTTAAAAACGTACCACCCGATGGTCCTAGAGACATCCGACAAATGCTGATGGATCCATCTGACTCGCTCTCGGAGTCGTCCGAGGCGTAGCGGGGCGATCCCGCGGGGTGTTTCCGGAGCGAGCCCGAGGGTGTCCCGATCTTGTCTTCAGGAGTATTCGCTTTGCTCACCAGCACTATCATGATCTCCACAAACTCATTCGCCGCGTTCTTCAACCGTTCCAAGGTGCAACTCAGCAGTTCATCTCCATCAAAAGCGTCAGGGCAGACACCCATGTCGTCCAACATCTGCAAAATCACATTGATCTCGTCGACTTTGTTGGTCCCGTGAAGTGGGACCGATATCGGCTTATCCAGAGGATCAATCAACTTGGGCCTTAATATCTTGAACACTGGGTCCGTCTTGAGCAGCGTCTTCAACTGGCCATAATAGTAATGCCATTTCGCACGCTCCCGCGCTTCACCCGTCGTCTCCTTCTCCCTGGACGCGATCTTCGTTGGGTTATATTCCGTCTTTGGCATCGCGATCTTATCTGGTGTTTCATCGTATTCCTCTTTGACTCCGATCTTCGGTTGCACGGTTCGGCCGATCTGGCGATCTTTGACGTCTGATCCCATCGATCTCGTCGCGGATCGTTCTGATGTGGTCGATCTCGCGATTGAGCTCTTCGGCTTGAGGTCGGGCGATCTATCGACTAAGATATAGGGTTTGGCTTTCGCCGATTTGGTTTTCATCATTGAATTTTCATCCAGCAGATCGCTCTGGAAAGAGCGATCTGCGGTGGCCCCCGAAAGGACCCTAGGAGGGGGTTGAGGTTTATCTTCCAGATCGATCTCTCGATCTTCCTCTTTCATTTTCATTTCATCAGAGCCCCTCCCAAAACTCTGATGATCTGAGGATCTTGTGCTTCTGCGTGTCTGCGTCGATCCCTCTGTCGCTGACACTTCAATCCCAGGTTCTTGCTTCATCTTGACATCTTCGCCAGTGGACTCACGGTGAAATCCAGAGGCCTAAGAAGATCCGGGCACGCGCACCATAGTGGTGAAGTCGATCTCACAATATTGCTTTAGTGAGTGTCGAGCTTCCACTTGACCAGACTTGCCGACTCACGGAGGGGGTACTCCGATCCGTGCCTTGTTGTATGACCTTGTGCTCACCTTGTGTACCCGTCGGTTGGGCTGGCTTGAGCTCTTCGTAACGGCCTTGGAGGATGTCGATCTCGCTGAGAGGTTGTGTTAAGAGTTCGCTTCCGGTGCGGAAATCTTCACACCACGAACATGGGTTCTGCGATCTTGATTCTCGAGTCGCGGCGATCTCTAGTTAAAGATGTCGCGGTCTTGATCTTGATTCGCACCGATCTCGATTTGTCTTCGGGATTGGGGTCTTTGCTATGCGGAAATCTTCACTCAGCACATAGTAGTCTTGCGTCGATCTTGCCTTGGGATCAGTCCGATCTGGTCTTGGGATCGTCCGATCTTGCTGGAAGTGCGCAATTTGGGCAGATCGGTCCTTGGTTTCGCCAAAATGAAACACGCCAATCTGTCGAGTGGATCGCTTCGATCTTGCTCGGTCTTGTCTTGAACGTCTTGTCCAGATCTTCTGACCACTTGAGCCGTCTCGCGATCTTGTGTCCGAAATCCTTTTCCTTTGTTGCTGCTACCCTAGCAGTTGAGTTGAGAGTGAGTACTTGATCGATCCGGGCCAAACTTCCCGCGGTCGCTCTTCCCGATCTTGGCCAACAATCCAAGATCGGTCTTCTGTGTCCCTGTAACACGCGTGCATTGACCCGCCGGGGAAGCCAAATCACTCTTGCCCGGAGAAGAGGGGAGGAGAACGTGCGTCGTGAGCAGAAGAAGTAGAGTTCAAGTCTGTTTATTACCCAACCAAATTACTAGCCAACCTATCTTTAAGCCTATTCCCAAATATAGATCACTCTCCAAGTCGATATCACCTTTAAGCTTGACCGCCCCCTTGAACACGTGTCGAAGTTTCATGACCTACACTCCAAAGATAGCGCCAATATCCCCGATATCGTACCTAAACGCCAAAAGAGGACCAAATCCCAAATGTGGTACCAAATACCCATTTTAGGTACCCGAAAGCCCAAAATAGTGCCCAAATGCTGAATGCGTCAAAATCCACTTTGCGACGTCAATTTGACCGGCTTCCACTGGCTCTTTTGATCTGAACTTTTGAGACATCACTCATGAACCTTCAACAAGCATGTTTGTTATGATCCAAAAGTCTCATCAACGATATATCCATAATCAGTGGGGAACATGACCGATCTGATGCCCAATTCGAGATCGTTGAGGATCGACACAGTACAATCCGGCCATACGTGTTCTTCCGTTCATTGTGTACTTTAATACCATCCCCAAGGGTTTATCTGCTCAATTAGACCATCCCCAGTTCTTACAACGGTCCCACGGACTCCCACAAACATCCCCACTTCCAGATCGGGCCATAAATAACCTAAATCAGTACTCCCCTTCGGGAGACCCGTAGAGAGTGTCACCGATCTGCAGGATGTTACACCTTCGTCACAGAGTCATATCACATCACCTGGTCCCAGATCTTTGTCCCAGATCGCTCCATGAAAATCGTTCTATTTGTCGTCTTGTCCCTGATCGCTCCGTCTCAGATCGTTCCATACCCATCAGTCTGACGACATATGGATCGAATCGCCGATCCCCATTGAGACCGCATTCCATCTCCTTATCGGATCGCCAGGTCCCATGGCCTCATTTTCCACCAGTAAGTGGCGTCTCAAATATGTGTCCACCGATCCTCGTACAAAATTTTGATTAGTGACTTCGCCACACCCTTTTTGTGAGGAAATGCATTTTTTCGAGGTGCGAGAAGAAACGATAGTTTGCAATACCTTTACGCGCCCTAAGCGCACTTTTTATGCTCCTTGGTTCGATCAGGTGAGCCTCGTCGAACTTTTCGACGATCCCGGGGGCAATCAGCATAATTTGGCAGCCAGGCTTGCCCTCGGTCAATTTGAGCCCATCGCGTGCGGGCATATATGCATGTTGGCTTTTACTCTTTCTGCGGTTGCAATTAGTGTCCTACATTGAAAATTGACACCTATAATGCACATTTAATAATGAGGAGAGGATGGGCTACAACGCACTGAGGACGACGTGTACAGTACGACCGGCTTTTTTTGCTCACATACACACAGACAAAAAATAGTTCTTACAACTTGTTATTCAACTTGCGCATAGTCACAAATAGCCTTCCGTCGGGCTTGCATTAATATTTTTATGTCCATACAAGAAGTGTTGAGTATAAATTAGGACTTACTGTTTCCACTTCCTGAATTTTTCTATTTTACCTCCTATGGGCAAGAATTTGGTATCGTCATTGTCCACACCTCAAAAGAATTGTTCACTTTTCTGCTAATGATCATGGTAGTCACTCAATCTACCAGTATGTTCCGTCACCATATTTTTATTACCAAATTAGACTTTTTCTACCCAAAAATACACGAAATATGGAACCTCACAGTCGTCAAATCTCCTACATAGACACCCCAGCAACAACGTTTGCTTTTACATTGTTACAATGAATTTTCATTTCCTACAGTTTTTTCCTTTCATTTAAGCTGCAGCTCAAAAAAAATCTGGAATGATGGAGCTATTTTTGGTTTTTACATGTTCCATATCTTCTTTACGTGACTTGGCTAGCGTTGCGTGATCCAGAGGCACAGGATCGCCGTTGTGTCCAGTGCGACAAAACACCTGGCTACATCGTGGTGATGACACTGAATGCACAACTGGTGTTCCATCGGACACACCTCGTTGCCACCCCAATCGGTTATTCTTATTCTCATGAGGTGCAATATGCTCGGTCACTCTGGTGGCCCAGCGTTACAGCTTACCTTCAAGATTCTTATCGTTTATCTGCTGCTTCTCTGTTGACTTGCGTCCAAGTTTTTCACTTTTTCAACAATCTCATTCCCCATGTAATCCTGACTGGCCGCAGTCGTCAGCAGGTATGGCATATACTCTCCTTGCATTCACCCTTCATGACTTCATCACTGTGCGTTCTGATTTTTAAATAAACGCACAAATTTTCTAATATGACAATTTAAGACGAAGAAGTAAAAGCCATTAAATCGATATATGCCCGTACACGATCGGCTCAAAAATTGACAGAGGTCAAGCCTGAAGCTACCAAAAATTAAATCTCTCTTTTGCTGATCGTGCCCCCAGGATCGGGTAGGCTCTGGTGACGAGGTAACCTCACCTGATCGAACCAAGGAGCATAAACCGTGCGCTTAGGGGGCGTAAAAAGGTATTGCAAACTATCGTTTCTTCTCGCACCTCGAAAAATGCATTTCCTCACAAAAGGGTGTGGCGAAGTCACTAATCAAAATTTTGTACGAGGATCGGTAGACACATATTTGAGACGCCACTTAACGGTGGAAAATGAGGCCATGGGACCTGGCGATCCGATAAGGAGATGGAATGCGGTCTCAATGGGGATCGGCGATTCGATCCATATGTCGTCAGACTGATGGGTATGGAACGATCTGAGACGGAGCGATCAGGGACAAGACGACAAATAGAACGATTTTCATGGAGCGATCTGGGACAAAGATCTGGGACCAGGTGATGTGATATGACTCTGTGACGAAGGTGTAACATCCTGCAGATCGGTGACACTCTCTACGGTCTCCCGAAGGGAGTACTGATTTAGGTTATTTATGGCCCGATCTGGAAGTGGGGATGTTTGTGGGAGTCCGTGGGACCGTTGTAAGAACTGGGGATGGTCTAATTGAGCAGATAAACCCTTGGGGATGGTATTAAAGTACACAATGAACGGAAGAACATGTATGGCCGGATTGTACTGTGTCGATCCTCAACGATCTCGAATTGGGCATCAGATCGGTCATGTTCCCCACTGATTATGGATACATCGTTGATGAGACTTTTTGAATCATGACAAACATGCTTGTTGAAGGTCCATGAGTGATGTCTCAAAAGTTCAGGATCAAAAGAGCCAGTGGAAGCCGGTCAAATTGACGTCGCAAAGTGGATTTTGACGCAATTCAGCATTTGGGCACTATTTTGGGCTTTTGGGTACCATAAAAATGGGTATTTGGTACCATCTGGGATTTGGTCCTCTTTTGGCGTTTAGGTACGATATCGGGGATATTGGCGCTATCTTTGGAGTGTAGGTCATGAAACTTCGACACGTGTTCAAGGGGGCGGTCAAGCTTAAAGGTGATATCGACTTGGAGAGTGATCTATATTTGGGAATAGGCTTAAAGATAGGTTGGCTAGTAATTTGGTTGGTTAATAAACAGACTTGAACTCTACTTCGTCTGCTCACGACGCACGTTCTCCTCCCCTCTTCTCCGGGCAAGAGTGATTTGGCTTCCCCGGCGGGTCAATGCACGCGTGTTACAGGGACACAGAAGACCGATCTTGGATTGTTGGCCAAGATCGGGAAGAGCGACCGCGGGAAGTTTGGCCCGGATCGATCAAGTACTCACTCTAAACTCAACTGCTAGGGTAGCAGCAACAAAGGAAAAGGATTTCCGGACACAAGATCGCGAGACGGCTCAAGTGGTCAGAAGATCTGGACAAGACGTTCAAGACAAGACCGAGCAAGATCGAAGCGATCCACTCGACAGATTGGCGTGTTTCATTTTGGCGAAACCAAGGACCGATCTGCCCAAATTGCGCACTTCCAGCAAGATCGGACGATCCCAAGACCAGATCGGACTGATCCCAAGGCAAGATCGACGCAAGACTACTATGTGCTGAGTGAAGATTTCCGCATAGCAAAGACCCCAATCCCGAAGACAAATCGAGATCGGTGCGATTCAAGATCAAGACCGCGACATCTTTAACTAGAGATCGCCGCGACTCGAGAATCAAGATCGCAGAACCCATGTTCGTGGTGTGAAGATTTCCGCACCGGAAGCGAACCCTCAACCCAACCTCTCAGCGTGATCGACATCCTCCAAGGCCGTTACGAAGAGCTCAAGCCAGCCCAACCGACGGGTACACAAGGTGAGCACAAGGTCATACAACAAGGCACGGATCGGAGTACCCCCTCCGTGAGTCGGCAAGTCTGGGCAAGTGGAAGCTCGACACTCATACAAGCCATTTTTGTGAGATCGACTTCACCACAATGGTGCGCGTGCCCGGATCTTCTTAGGCCTCTGGATTTCACCGTGAGTCCACTGGCGAAGATGTCAAGATTAAGCAAGAACCTGGGATTGAAGTGTCAGCGACAGAGGGATCGACGCAGACACGCAGAAGCACAAGATCCTCAGATCATCAGAGTTTTGGGAGGGGCTCTGATGAAATGAAAATGAAAGAGGAAGATCGAGAGATCAATCTGGAAGATAAACCTCAACCCCCTCCTAGGGTCCTTTCGGGGGCCACCGCAGATCGCTCTTTCCAGAGCGATCTGCTGGATGAAAATTCAATGATGAAAACCAAATCGGCGAAAGCCAAACCCTATGCCTTAGTCGATAGATCGCCCGACCTCAAGCCGAAGAGCTCAATCGCGAAATCGACCACATCGGAACGATCCGCGACGAGATCGATGGGATCAGACGTCAAAGATCGCCAGATCGGCCGAACCGTGCAACCGAAGATCGGAGTCAAAGAGGAATACGATGAAACACCAGATAAGATCGCGATGCCAAAGACGGAATATAACCCAACGAAGATCGCGTCCAGGGAGAAGGAGACGACGGGTGAAGCGCGGGAGCGTGCAAAATGGCAGTACTATTATGGCCAGTTGAAGACGCTGCTCAAGACGGACCCAGTGTTCAAGATATTAAGGCCCAAGTTGATTGATCCTCTGGATAAGCCGATATCGGTCCCACTTCACGGGACCAACAAAGTCGACGAGATCAATGTGATTTTGCAGATGTTGGACGACATGGGTGTCTGCCCTGACGCTTTTGATGGAGATGAACTGCTGAGTTGCAGCTTGGAACGGTTGAAGAACGCGGCGAATGAGTTTGTGGAGATCATGATAGTGCTGGTGAGCAAAGCGAATACTCCTGAAGACAAGATCGGGACACCCTCGGGCTCGCTCTGGAAACACCCCGCGGGATCGCCCCGCTACGCCTCGGACGACTCCGAGAGCGAGTCAGATGGATCCATCAGCATTTGTCGGATGTCTCTAGGACCATCGGGTGGAACGTTTTTAAAGGACAAGATCGGACAAGCCAATACCGACGCCTTTAAAGGACAAGCCAGGAGCGACATGCCACGGAGATCGGCCGGTACCCGTACTGGGCTGGATGATCAGGAAGAGGGCGATCTAAGTCGGTACTTCAATTTAGCCATGAAGGAGTACGAGGCGGATCAACGTACAGCTCAGCGAATGAATCGACAGCCAAACCGCTACCCAGATCGACGTGCTTTGCTCCAACCCTCACACGAAAGCCATGACATGCCGGATGTGGAGATGGAATCGGTGGAGTCGGACACTTACCAACAGATCCATCATGGGGCGGAATACGACCCGGATGATTTATGAATGTCCGAACCACAGCGCCCTCACGTAGCCGCGACCGGTGCGACTACCGGAGGGGGAAGCATCACGCAGAGGATCAGAATCTCAGCGATTTATGAGCTGAAAGAATTCTCAGGGAAGGATCGGGAAGAAGACAAAGCACGAACCTGGATCGGCAAACTGAAGTCAGCGTTTATCCGAGACCAAGCACCGGACGAAGAGAGATGTCTGGTCTTCGGTGATCTCATTGTGGGCCCAGCCCGCTACTGGTACCGACAGCTGAGTAGATCGACGAGATTCAATTGGAAAGAATTGATGAACAGTTTTCTTGTGGAATATGCGGGACACGGGATGTCCACAAGCCGACAATATTACCATGCAAAGAAACGATCGGAGGAAGATCCTTTGCAGTACCTGTATCGGCTTAATGTGATGGGAACGCAGGCGAAGATACCGGTGATGACTGGATTGCCAGCTGCGCGCAAGGAACATGTCAACCATTTCATTGACACCTTGGACGACCCCGATCTGTCCAATCAATTGCTATTGCTGAATGTAGGAGACGCGGATGCCATGCAAAAGACACTGCATGGATATCAACAAGGGAGATCGCGTCAAGGGAAAGTGATGATGGGATCGTCCAAGTTCAGGCAGAAGGGAACTCCGGGTCCAGCATTTTCTAAGCCTGCACAAGCGGTGAGGATGGTCCGTACCGAGGACGTCAGCAGCGAGTCAGGTTCGGACACCTGCGGATCGTATTTGGAAGATCGATTGAAATCGATCCATGTGGCTGCTACTACGGATCGGTGTTCGTCCCCCAATGACGTTGCAGCAAAAGCAAGATCGGCCGACCCGAACACTCGTCAAGATTATCAAGATCGCAATATGCCATTGAAGCCGTGTGCTCATTGCGGATCGACCAAGCATGGAGATCTCGGTTGCTGGAAGCGGCTCACTTGCCAGAAGTGTGGTCGTAAAGGATACCCCTCTGACAATTGGTTTTTCGTGAGTCGCGCCTGCGGTGAGATGCACGACCCGGGGAAGTGTCCTATGGAGGAGTTCTATAACATGATCCGCCAATGGTACGTCCCAACCAAGCATGCGGGGACACTGCCAGAGAAGGCAGAGAAGATGTTAAACTAGGACGCTCGCCAGGTTTGAATCTGGTACGAGCCGAGCGTTCTGGGCTCTGCATCATTGCATACGTGGAAAAAGAATACAGATCGCAAGAGTAAGCAGGATACAGAGATGGATACAAATATATCTCGTTCGAAGTCAAAACGTGTCGTTTCCGTGTCCCATCTGAAGAGGATCGGTGAGTACTCGCGATCTGAACCAACTATGGAGATCGAGCTCGCTTACGGTGATTCTCGCGGATACTGGAAACATTACTCGCCCGGGAAGTGGTTCAAACAAGGCGAAAGCTGTTGGCAAGATCAACAACGAAAAAGGCCACTCTGCTATTTGATTCTGGTGCTGAAGTGTCGATCATTGACACCACCTTTGCTCGTGAGGTCGGTTGCAATATTGACGAAAGTCAACGACAAGAATGTATCGGGATCGGAGAAACCCCGTACATGACGATAGGACGTACCAAGATCAAAGTAACCCTCGCGGGATCGCTGGTATACTATTTCAATGTATGGGTAGGCGATCTGGCAGGGCAAGAAGCAATTCTGGGCATGGACTTTATGGTGCCTGCCGGAGTGCGGCTCGATCTAGCTGATGGCGCGCTATGTCTACCAGAAGAAATCCGTATCCATCTCGCAGGACGTCGCCCCGCGTACGGATCGAAGATACAACATGTAACGGCGTAAGACCAACATGTGTTTATCCCAGTCGGAGAGTCAAGAGAAGTGAAGATCGGGATCGGAGGGGCTAAGATGAAGTTGTGGGTCACTAGAGGGCCAGATTGGGTCCCCTCTGTGATCTCGGGGTTGGGTAAGACGAAATACCTGCAGATGACCAACATTGGCGACCGTGAGATCATACTGCCCACCCACACGATATTAGGCTTGTGGACCGAAGGCGATATGGTACCACGAACTCAAGGTTTTGTGAAGGTCGGATCGGGGAAGTACAAGTAGTGGCAAACTCTGACGTATGAGGCTACGACGGATCGAGTGAATGAACTCCCAAATGAGCAGATCGGACCATTGGTAGATCGCCCTACGTACGCCACTCCCAAATGCATCATGAAGCGTCCGTCTGATGCGCTAAAGGGCATACCTCCAGCGATCTCCATGGTAACGCAGCAAGCTGGCGACGACGACTTGCAAAATGCAGATACAGTGGTTGCAAGGGAATGAACGGTCAACGGAGTTGGATCGAATCCACTCGATGAGACAAATCTATCGTCAAAGGATAACGATCGTGAGATCGAAACCGAGATCGCGATGAGAAGAGATCACGGGACCGAACGAGAAGAACAAGACAACAGACTGTCTTCATTGAACGTCAATCTTGCAGACAACAGAGCAGGACTGGATCGGTCCGAGGCGACGCAAAGATCTGAAGAGGACAAGCCGTCTAAGATCGACGAAGCTGACTCCGCAGAAGCACCAGTCTACTATCACGAGAGTGGAGATTTGTTTGCCGAAGACATCGAGCAACACCTGGCGGTGTTACCAGAGATGTTCACTGCTACGGAAGAAGTGACAATTAACGACATTCAGATCGGCTATCCGGACGTTCCTCTCACCGCAGATCAACAAAGACTCAGATCGCTGATTTGGAAGACCCGTCACCTTTATGGGGAAAGGCAATGCTCTACCACCAGCGGCTCGAGGAGCGATTTGTGATATCGATGTCGGTGGAGCCGCACCAATTGCGCAAAGGTGCGTCCGGTCGCACCCAAATATCGGGGAGAAGCTGTCAGATCTCATCAAAGGACTGTTAGCAGCCAAAATCGTTCAGCCATCCACGTCACCTTGGGCGTCTCCGATAGTGGTGATCATCAAGAAGAACGGAGTGGATATTCGCCTTTAATTGATTATCGAAGAGTGAACCAGCTGACGCGCATGATGGTTTATCCCATGCCGTTGATCAGCGATCTGTTGGTAGATCTGGATAAAGCTCTATGGTACTGTTCGCTAGACATGGCGAAGTGGATTCTGGGTCGGCAGAAATGACTGAACGAACAAAACTGATCTCAGCGTTTGTCACGCCGTTTGGCTTGTTCGAGTGGCTGAGAATGCTTTTTGGGCTAAAGAACGGGCCCGACATCTATCAACGTCTGGTCGACAATGCGTTGTATGGATATCTCAAGATCGGTTAGAGATCAGCCTCTGATGGCCCGATCGAGGTGTTCAAAGATGGAGAACCTGAGACAGATTGACGACCCTCTATACTAGGACGCCGATCTTACATTGACGATATTCTCATACCAGCCACGTCATAGGAATCTTTGTACACAAAAGTAGAACAGTTGCTGGAGGCATGTGATAAGTAAAATCTTTCTATCAGTATCACGAAGAGCCTTTGGGGGTGCCGCAAGGTCGATTATCTGGGACATCGAGTGTCGATGGATGGTCTGGAGGCTCAGCCCAAGAACTTGGAGTCGTTGGTCAACATCCCGTTCCCTAGCACGCTGCGAGCTTTGCAATCTTTTCTCGGGAGCTTGAACTACTACCGCCGTTTCATTCAGGACTTCGCGGTGGTACGCCGCGGTGTTGCCTGAGTTAAGAGAATTGAATTTCTTCGAGATCGGCCGATCTCAGCTCGCAGCAGGAGACGAATGGTCGAACGAGGGTCGATGGACCAGAAGCCAAGGTTGCTTTCACTATGCTAAAGGCTAAGATAGCTACAGCTCCCATGCTCAAACATTTTGACCCAGATCGCCCTCCCGTGATCGTGGTCTACGCTAGCAAGTAGACTGTCTCAGCGGCCTGATACAGGAGTACGGTGGCGTGTACCATCCGGTGACGTTTACTAGCCGCACTTTAAAGCCCAATGAGCTTAACTACGGAATGGTGGAAAAGGAAGTGCTGGCGTTACTTCGTGTTTTGGATGTATGCCATACTACGCTTGCCTCGCGGGAGATCACTGTGCTGACCCGACATTCTACGTTAGCGTGGTTGATGCAATCTCGAGGGCTCAACGGGAGATTAGGACGGTGGGCTGCTTCTGTCGAACTGAACTATAGAGGTGAAGAGGTGCGAAAAAGGAGAAGAAGAGATTTTGGGCATGCTAGCAGCAAGTATCACCCCGAGAGAAGAGGTGGAAGAGATGCTGATTGCGATTTCCCCGAAAGGACTGCCGACTCAAAATATCGACGCCTCCCTCCAACGGTGGAAGCAGATGAGGAGTTGCTGGTGGCCGTTTCGATGGATCGGCGAGGATAAAAAAGAAAGGAGAGTCGTACAGTGCTGTGATATGAAGATTAACCGAGTGGACGATCGTGGCGGCAGAATCCAGATACGCTCTCGACCTCACCGTGAATTAAGCTAAGTATTATGGTTTGCGATTATGCTTCGATTTACTGGCCGATCTGGACAGGGGAAGAATAATATTTTGTGGGGACTCTAATTTGGTAATCCGCCAGATGCGCGGTTAGATCGACTGCAAAGCCCCGTGCCTGCAACTCTTGACACATAAAGCGTTAGAGAAATTGCGATCTTGGCCTAGTCACGAGTTTCTGCATATGAAACGAGAGTGGAACCAGAGCACAGATTGACTAGCCACCACAGCATTGCAGAATGAAAAGGGGAGAACCGTTGTAGCTGAAGAAGATCGGCAAGATATTATGACTCTGAACCGTCTCGATGAATTGTTGGAGCCCAATCAAGATTGTCAGCTGGCTCGGATAACTGCAATTACGAGATTAGCCGGGAGGATACGTCATGAACCTGAAGTGATACAGGAGGCTATAGTACAGATGACTAGGATTCAACGAATTGTCCAACCTCAAGATGAAGAGCGTTGGATTGGCAACATCAAGAAGTATCTAAGTGGCGATGTATCAAAATTGGACGCGGGAGAAGTGAAGATGTGCGCAAAACTGGCGCCGGAATACGTCGCCTCTTCGGACGATAGTTTGACGAGTTAGCCTGAGACTGTCTCAGAATGACGTCTTCTTGTTCCGCATACGCTATCGCCCTTTCCAGCGCATGGAAGTCCTCTCGGAACATGTAGGTCTTCACCGGTCCATCTACAAGGCCGTAGATGAACACGTTGATGAGCGTGTGCTCATCAACAGGGTTTTCCGTAACGCTACTCGCAAGGTAGCGCAGGTGCTGTGCGTAAGCGTATACGTCACGCTTACCTTGCTTTAGCCTCAAGAGTGCAGAGCGTGCTCTGCACTCGGCTCTCGGCAGCTCAAACGTCTCTTTAAGTCGAGAATTTAATATCTCCAGTGATTCAAACACGTTTGGGTCGTGAAGCTTGAACCCTAAGGCCCAAGTCTTTGCTCGTCCTGTCAAATTTGACAGGGCGAAGGTGACTTGCATCTCGTCACCCTCGATGTGACGGGCCCTGATGGCATCGTCTAACTCGACGAACCATAGTAAAAGTGAATATTCATCGGTTCCCTTGTACCTTGAGATATCAGTCTTCAAGATTTCGAGTCGACGCATGTGCGTCGGCCCGCCCATCGACTGATGAGAGCCTCGCTGTAGTAGCAAGGCTATCTTCTGTCTTTCGACGGCAAGTTCCCCTTGTATGAACTTGCTGATAGCAGCATGTTGCTGGTCTCTGCTCAGAGACTTCAACATGCCACTGATGGCGGATTCGCCCATGAGCACACTCACGCGGCCGACTACCTCCCATTCTGAGTCACTCAGATGGGAGTGGCCTTCACATGTGACGTGAAAGCTGTCGTTTTCTACGTCCAACATGTTCATATTGGACGGACTACAAAGTGCTACCAGGTGTAACGGGGCACCCTTTGTTTGAGTGCCGCGAAACTTTACGTACACTAGTACGTGCAGAGGAAGCTAATCTACTTGAAAGACTCGGTCAAGTAAAGGGTAAAAAGAGAAGTGTATTAAATATAGTTAAGCTATCAATAAAACTTTGATCGTTATCTAACTATATTAAAGTACGCCGTCGTATGACGACAACCTGTTCACCACTCATTGCGCGCGTCTAGCAGCGATTGGTAACCTTGGTTGATATGTCTTATATCAACCAATCTTTGAAGTAAGAGAATGATTATCATTATGCAAAGGGGATAATAGTCCTTCAATATAATCCATCCCGGATAATATCGGTAGAATTTTGTCACGTTAGACAATCTCCCTATTGACACCGTTTGGTATCAATTTCATGTAACAGGCTACCCCGTTACACGGGCGAGGAGACAACGTCTGACGCCGCAGGGGATCCGGTAGCGTGAGAACCACCCAGAGAGAGGGGGAACACTTTCAATTGCCAGGACGCTATTGGTCGATTGCTCTAGCCAGTGAAACAAGGGAAGTTAAACAATAAATTACTCGACTGCCGGCTTTGTACAACGTAGCTTTTGTAGCCGAGCTACCCTTGCTCCTCTGTCAT